ATAAGTTTAAATAAAAATTCTACATAACTTTATGTAAAAATTCTATATAAACTTATGTCAAAATGTACTTGCTGATGGTTGGCGACAAATAGATTCACCCAAAAACAAAATAATAAAATTGACAAAAGATAACAAAATTAGTAAAAGAAATATAACAAAATTAATAAAGCTAATCAAATTAATAAAACTATAAAATTAATATATAAATCTGATAATAACTATATAGTAGATACATTTATTAAGAAAATATATATATATAAGTAAAAAACTAGATAGCTGCGCGGCGTCATCGCGCAAAAAACAGGAACGGAAGGTCTAAGAGAAAGTCAGAATCAAGATACATAGTAAATTTGTGCATAATTATGTGCATTGGTTTAAATTAGGATTAGACGTAACGGTTTAATACATATACCACTAATAATGGTTGTAACTGATCCAAATTGAATTAGCTAATATTTGAAGCTAACTAATCCAAAATTGTGTCGTATCATTATTCACATGCATAAACACAAACAATTCACTTTAGCTACTTAAAAAATAGTACTCCAAATATTTAACTATATCAATTACCGTTATTACCGTATCAAAAATCCTAATTAATCAATACATGACCTTATTTACTCAAGTGCATATTTCAATTCGAACCTTGTACTATTAATATTGTTAAAATTAAAACTACATAAGGCTTTAAATTGTCCAAATCTTGGAATACTTTCTTCACAAATCTCCATTAAGAGGACGGATACTATACTATATTTTAAACCCAGTTTTATTTTATCTAGAATACAAATTTTCAATTGAATTTTTTACGTGTCAAGGGTTATATAAAATATTTAATCTTATAGTATTTAACAATGTCTTCACAAAAACTGCGCACTTATGTGACTGCTACATGCACTAACTGTTGAATAAAACGCAAAAAGTACACTGGAAAGTCTGTTTGCACAAACTGTATGAAACGCAATCTTGAATGTATTTTTACTAGCTCAGGTAAAAACCGTGGTTCAAAGCCAAAAGCTAAAGTGATAGATATTATAAATAAGCATAGGGAACTAGCAAACTCTATGCGAGATGGTACATTATTAATTTCCTATTTAGCATCTGATTATCTAAATTAATATCAAATTAACGATATTACTCAGAAAGCGTATTTCTTTCCTCAAGCACTTGGAATCTCTAATCATAGTGATATTATTGACAGCCACAATAATTCATTTATTAATTATGATGATAACACCATTTAATGAATTGTTGGAAAAAACAGAGTTATTTATACATGTTTTTAGACTAAGATAAATAGCAATTTACTCAATCTGAAAAAAATACACAATATAATATAACTGATACATATAATAGAGTTAATAAATATAATAATAAAATATTTCTTTGGGTAGTTTGAAGAACAGTTAATCCAGTGATCATCACTATATCACATGACATCGTTTGGCCTAGGTTAGGGTTAGTTGAAGGCAGTGATGGTAAATGACCTGGTCATTTGCGAATTTTTCAAATGACCGGTTATTATCGATCATCTCAATTTTGAGTCATTTGGAAATTACTCGTGACCAAATGACCATGGTCATTTAGAAGTGACCGGGTCATTTGAGGGTCATTTAGTCTATAGGCTTTTAAATACCGAAATAGGCTGGGTTAGGCTAGATATTTGTGTACTCAGGCCCAAACTCAATAAAGATTTATATGCCCGACCCAACCCAGGGAATGATAAACGATCCGGTCGCTTGATCGAAATTTAAATGACCCCAATCATCAAATCATGACAAGAGCATTTGGGTTATTAAGTTTATTTAGGTCTTTTGCATATAAAATAGGTTTATTGGTTGAATTGCTCGTATAAAAAGTTATCACATTTCTAATCGATAATCGTAGTTATATACGTATTAAAGTCAAAAGCTTACTAAGTCAATAAAATATTATAAATTGAAAAACTTCTATTAACTTTCGTATAAATGTAAAGTGCGGAAGTGAGTCAATAAAAGTTCTTCAGTTTACATGAAAATTTCAGAATATATGCAGTTTAATACTTCGGACAAATTAATTAAGAAATAAATATTTAATTTATTGCTACGATTATCGATTATATTTAATTTTGTTTGGTGGCTAATTCTGATTGGCTAAATGGCATTAGAATATCAATTAGCATATGCTAAATGACCTTCTAAGTCATTTGGGTCCCGAAATGACCCAATGACTAGTCATTTGTCATTTGGATCATTCCAGGCCATTTACCATCACTGGTTGAGGGTCAGTCTGTTTAATTCTGGCAAACAAATGACGTCATGATATCTTTATCTCATTAACTGCTCTTCAAATGTCCCATTTCTTTAAGAATTAAAAATCTAATTACACGTGTTACGCAACCTGAAAGTAGTCTCATGATTTAACGATATTAAAATTTCGTGACCTTTCCCGAATAATCATATTCTAGTTCTATTCAATAAAGAATTAAATGTTCTTAAAATTTTTTAGAACCATAATATCGACCCGAGTTTTTGACTAAGAAATTTGGGTTCTCTTTATCGTGTTCGAACGTGAAAACTTCGACCTTACTAACTCCAGCATCTTTAGGACTAACTCCCTTTCCATCTAGCATAACATGAACTATGTTGATATCCTCATCAACATCAAAAATCGCATCTGAACTATAGATGCAGACATATGCTAGTGCCGTAACTGATCCTAACGTCAATTAGACGTAACTCAAAGACGTGATGATAC